GCTCCAAATGGGCATGGTATTCCTGCCACCATTGCAGAAGCAATGAGATGATGCTGAGAAGCTCTTTCTTTGCTAAAGATCCCATTCAATACTTCATCAAATTGCTTTCAGGAGTTCTCTCCATTCTCTGTAGCCAGAGTTGTAGCTCACACAACATCACTTTTTTTTTCCAAGCTCTACACTCCTTGCTGTGCTGTGATCATTTTAAGACAACCTCCACCTGTATGAAGACCTGAGTATTACTTAGAAATTTTCCACGGCTTTTGCAGCTAATGTTCAAGTCCGCCTGCACACAGGCCCTGTGGACACAATTCCACTTCTTTGTTCTCTTGAGAGAAAGTGAGGCTCTTCATATTCTATGCTTTTCTGACAATCACTATTCTTTCTTCTTCTCACAAATTCCCGTGTAAAATGCAGAATCCCATTTGTCGGGAAACATTCCAGTGTGTTCGCAATAAGGGATTCTGCTTCTCTCCAGTAACAAATAACTCATTTTGCCATTCCATGGACAGTCTCATTTTGATCAATCTTTGATCCTTGCTGTCCAACCAATTCCTTTTCCAGAAAATGGTCTTTCCATCAAATTTTGTTTCTCTGATTTGGAGGCTTAGATGTGGTGTGGGACACTGTCAGATGTTTTTCACAAGTCCAAGTAGATGATGTGAGTTTCTCCTCCCACATCCATCAGCACTGTAACCCTGTCATAGAAGACAATTCTGTCTTGTAGTTCTTGTCCTCACTCTTTTTGTTTTTTGGGCTGAACTTAATGGAGTTCTTTCTCTCATTCATAAGAATTAACACGTGCAGCATATAGATCTCTGTCCCACTACTAAATTATCACTGATTATTTTATGTTATCTTCATGTGTGGAGAGTTGTTTCGTTATTGTAACATTTTTAGTGAGTTTTCCCAAAACTGAAGAATATGTCTCCTGTTTTATTAACAGTACTTTGTTGAATGCTGTTAACATTATAAAGCAGTCCTAAGCTATAGCAGCATGCAACTAGCATATTTTTCACTCTTTGAAATTACATAGAGTTCAAATTATTATTTTTATGAGATCTGAGGGGATATGAAGAGGGCAGAAGAGGTCTTTGGGTCTGTTAGTTTTTTGGAGAATGGCCAGAGATTGATTGCCTGATCCTTCTAGCCAATCATGAGTTTTGAGAGCAATGTCTCTCCTATTTTTCATTATAATTGCTAGGTTTTGTTTTCAGCTAAGAAAAGGAATAGATTGCATAAGCTACTTAAATACTTGGATGGTACATTATGTTATTAGTCATGCAAGAATTAACTTGTTTCTCCAGTTTTCCTATTTCATTTTTTATTACGTTTAAGGTACTATATGCACAGTATATTAAATCTGGCTGAACATGAACTTATTTATTTTATTAGAGATATGTTTAAGGCGTTGTTATGATCTATGGGAAGATTATTTGAGTTCAGTGTACAGAACTGGAGAGACTGTTGGCAGAGGCTAATCCCAGGTTTATATCAGTCCTGATATCGCCAAAATGTCTCCAAGACATGAACTTGCATCAAGAGCAAAGCAGTAGCATTTTACCAGGTGAATAATGTGTACTGAGACTTCAGTAGAAAGTCAAGCAGTACCCCTCTCAGAGGATAGATTTATTAAAGTAAATGTGGGCACACAGCCTTCGTATCACAATTTATTTACTTATTTACTTTCTCATTAATTCGTTGATTTGTTTGTTTGTTTTGGCATAATGGGCAGGAAGCACTCAGAAAGGACGTTCACAAAATATCCCATAACTGGGCTTAGGGGAGGATGGCGGAAGGGAACACACTACTCAATCGCTTTTAATGCCACTAGAGGTCAGCACTAGTCATCAAATAAAGGTCCTGGGAAAATCTTATTGCCACTGCTTCAAAGGGAGCGGAGATTTTCGACGAGATACACGTCTGTGCTTGTTCTGCAGGTACATGTGAGCTCACACTGCTCCAGCGTGCTTGGAAGCCAACCTTCCTTTCTCCAAAGCTTCATGTCCCCAGTGTTATTTGTGAACCTATGGTCCTGTGCTGCTGCTTACAAGTTGAAGCTGTACTTAGATGCCATAGCAATGAGAGCAGTCAGAGAAAAGTGACAGCACTGAGCTCTGTCCCAGCAAAGGCCTAAGCAGCACAGACAGCCCAAAGCAGTCAGCAATCAGCTTCTGCTGTACTAAGACTGTTTCTGAAATGGGGCACTGGCAAATCAGGCCCAAAGATGCTCTTTCAACTCCTTCATTTGTTTTTCCTCATCACTGTCTAAGCTCCTGCAAACACAGATGTTGTTTACAAAATTTTAATATAGTTACTGTTGATAAACAATCAGACACTTGCTATAAAGATAATTTTGATGGGATAAACAATGTTTTTTTTTAAAAAAAAAAAACTTCCACAAAATATTTACCTTTTTGAAACCTGCTAATGGATGCAAATCACCTGATAAATGTAGTGCAATGTAGCGCAACAAATGGTTGTGATTTATTATTATGCTAAAATGTATGCTTTCAGCATCTCTTCCTCAATGACCTTGGGAGCTGACTAAGTATCAAGGCACAACTGTCATGCTTAGTGTAAGCAGAACAATTCTTAAACAAATAAACAAAAAGACACCTTTCATTTGCAGTGGCGCTTTCCTTTCACTGAATGCTCTGCATGCATTAGATCTGGAAATAAGAAGGCCCAGTGTGAACACCGTGCTCAAAATAATTGAGTCTATTTGCAACGCTTTATTTGTATCTTTGTAAATAAACATATATGTACACACTACAGATTTTTTTTTCCTTGTGTTTTTTTTTTCCCCTGTTTAAGAAAATTGGCCCTGAAATATCATCCTGACAAGAACCCTGACAATCCAGAGGCTGCCGAAAAATTTAAAGAGATTAACAATGCTCATGCAACACTGACTGATCTCTCCAAGAGAAACATATATGACAAGTATGGATCCTTGGGGCTCTACGTGGCAGAACAGTTCGGGGAGGAAAATGTTAACACGTATTTCATGCTCTCTAGCTGGTGGGCAAAGGTAAGCTGCTATTTTCTGTTGAAAAGTACTGCTATGTACACAGGTGCTTACATGTACAAGGAACCCTTTGAAAAACATGGTATTTGATAGAGTAGGATCAGGATTTAAAATGCTAATAAATGTGTAATTAAGCGATAATAAATATTGGAAAATTAAGAGTGGCAGATATACCATCAGCTCAGAAGAGAGCTAATATAAAATATCTTTTTCTTTCTAACTTGGTAAATAGTTGAATGCACATTTTGTAACACTTTCAGACATTAATTAGATTTGAATCTGGTGCTTCAGGTTAACTTTGACTTTCTTTTCTGTAATGACTAAATAAAAGTGACTCATTGTTCAAAAATGAGAAGGCCCACTTATGTGACAACCAGTTAATAAGTTATTACAGTACAAATATAGCTGTGTTCTTTGCTATATATAGCAGTCGGCATAAGTAAGCAATAATAATACATAACACTGTGGGATTATGGTGCCATATATGTGCCCTGTCAGTCTGTGGTGAGGGGGTGAGAGAAGGGATGTGGAAGAAGTGAGAACTGGGGAGTGGAATAAGAGATCAGGAAAAGAAGAGCATGATGCATCAAATGCTGATATATTGTTCAAGGGAAAACACATCACAGAGTGCTCTAGTAATAAGAGTTGCATTTGTATGCTCTATTATGTCACTGCTGTCTCCCAGTGTTTCTATATGTCAAATTCTGGTGTTTCAGCAGAAATGAGATGTTACAGAAATGTAACAAACCAGCATGCAAAATTCATGCTCTCCCTACCAGTTCCCAGAAACAAAATGACCAGAAAGCAAGGGCTCTGCTGGAACAAATGAAAAATGGTCTGAACTGCACGAAGCAAGCATGCTATGACAGCTCTGATCTGAGATCGGTGGAACACGCATTGTGTTCATGATGGATCAGGCCAGTGCTTCACCACTCTTTGCAACAGGGAGATCACTTTGCGCAGTTCTGTGGGTCTGGGAAGCCATAATTTGTACGTTGGATCATATGGAAATGTTTCAAATGCAGAAAATTCCCAACGTTGACATGACAGCCATACAGCTGGAATGGCCTCCTCAGAAGCTGCCTGGAGGCTGCCTACCTGCAGTTGCTGCAGCTAAATCCTTCTGCAGGCTGGACTCCCTCACTGCTGCTTTCTGTCACTGATGGATCCTTCCCTCTTCCCTTTGCTGTCCTTTCATACTCTTCTTCAACCTCTTTGTCACGGCTCTGGTGCCAGGAAGCATTCCCTCAGAGCTGAGAGAACAGCTGTATTGACTCCTCAAGCAGTCTTGATAAACAAGTTTTTCTTCACATCTAGATTTTATTTCCTCTTCTGCTTGCTGACTGTTAACAGATTTTATGAAGTGCAAGATCCTCTGTGGTTACCATATCAAGAACAGAAATAACTGCTTTGGCTTTGATTCATAAGAAGAGCAACAGAAACTGGAGAGAAACTAGTAAATCTCTAAGAGCTAAAGGAGTGTGTGGATAGATTGAAGGGAGCTATATCCTACAGATGAGAAGAGATACACTGAATATTCCAGAAAAATTTGTCACCGCTTCCTGGGTTTTAAGAATTCTGTGCAGAATACCCAGGAGAAATCCAAAATATGCAACACCTGAGAATTGTTACCAGCAGTCTCTCTGTCCCTCCTCCATCCCAAAAACTTGCCACCTCTAAAGCACAGACAGGTCACCAAATGTTTTTTTTTTTTCTTTTTTTTCCAAACGGAGGTCACTATTCCTCATCTCTTTTTTTCTCATGTACAAATGCTGGGTCAGTTTCAGATTTTTGTAAGATCTATCAGAATATTATTGAAATCTGACTGTAGATGCTTTCTGTACTTCTAATTTCTTCCATTCTGGTCTGAAGAAGGTAGAGGCAACATCTTTTGCTCCTTATCTTCTTCAACTACCAAAATTCCTGGTAAATCCTCTTCCCTATCACACTCACACTCAGAAAATCAGACAGTCACAAGGAGGTGCATCATTAGAAGTAAAAAAAAATCAAATGAAAAGAGAAATGCAAAGTGAAAATTGCTTTTTTGGAAGTGTCAGTCTTCTTAGCAGTCATATTAATCTTGGAACATACTAACATGAATAATGGGTACTTGAACTGCTCATCTACTGGCAGGCAAAGGAGTTGTTCATTCAACTATTATAGCAAAAAGCAATTTTCCCTCTTCTGTGAAGACAGCTTATTGATCACATTAGAGTTCCTGATTTACCAACTATGATATTTTAAATTTAAAAAAAAAATTGAACATTTAAAGTACTGTTAATAAATTCAAGTATATATTTGGCTTTATTCTTTCTTTCATTCTGTCAGTTGTGCTGATTTTTTTCTCCATTATGCCATAAATGATAAACAGGTGTTTAACTTCTGTCAGGGATTCTGAGATTTCTAACAGTTTCAGATGTCAGATGGAAGGAAAGCATTTTAAAACAGTATGTCTGAGTCCTTCTTGTCTTTTAAAGACATCTTGACCACTCTTCGTATATCTGTGAATAGAATGGATTATCATTGGCCTTGAGCCTGCAAACATATTAATAGTAAATATTATGCATGTAATGATCTTATTACCTTCAAAGCCCAAGTTAACGCTGCCTGAGACATAACTGTTATTTACACAGCTTCATTGTCAAAGTTTGACAATACTCTGGAATCTGGGCTTTATTTCTTCTTCACCAGCATATTTATTTATGAACATAACTGCAAGAGCATGTAAGTCAAACTGTATGTAGTAAAGGACAGCCTGGATACCTATAACACTAAAGCTTGGATATATCTTCAAGCTAACTCATGCATATCTGGTGTCCACAAAGGTGTTCTGTCTTTATACAAGCATATTCCACATATCAGCTGTAATTCCCCTTTCAGGAACGTCACTGGCTCTGCTTTTCTCTTATAATACTATGTCCATGAAGACATGTGGAGGCTTCCTCTTAACCACAAACACCTTGCTCAGGTCTGGGCACATGCCTTGGAAAACCAGAAGTCAGTGCCATCCTACAGACTCCCCTCCTGCAGCCCCTGTCCCACCATCACCATGTGGCACTCAGTGGAGTTGTGGAGCACAAGTATTTGTGGAATTTTGCTGGAAACCCAGACAGTGACCTGATCTGCAGGAAGAAAACTGGCTGAGAGATCTGGCTGAGATCACTGCTCTCGGCTCTAGGAGCCATGCTGGCTCTGCTAAAGCCTTCACACTTCACACTTCACACCAGTGACAACAGTGATCCAGTCGATGCTGGTGAGAGCTTCTTGTTACCAAAGTTCCCAGATCAAGAACCCACAGCCCAAAAAGTCTAATTTAGGAGCTGTCACCTCTGCTCCTGCGCAGGCTAAATAGAAGAAAGAAATACCTCCAATGGGCAATTCAAGTCCTCCCAGGGCTGAATCACCCTCTGGAAGAGCTTTTAACTTTCCATCACCTAGGTGGGAAGCTCATGGAGACTACAGTCCTAATTTAGAGCCTTAGTTTAGTGCCTAAAGTTATGTGGGATGCATCTGGGTCTTTGCTTCTTTTTCTCTTGGCTTTGTTATTGACAAGAACCTGCCAGTAAATAAGCATTTGAGAAAAAGAGCTTGGGCAAATGAGTCATTTTTAAGATGGAAATGAGTCATTTTAAGGTGGGTGCGGTTTTGCATACTGCCTGGAGGTGTTTTCCGAGGGCCGCCAGCTGAAGACAGACTTTGAGGAGTTGGGCGTGCAGGGACCTGTTGGTTGGTGGCAGATGTGATCCTGAGCATCATATAGGAGCTGGTGGGTGAGGAGGGCTCTGGAAGGTCTGGTCCTTACTTAGGCCCCTGTCCAGCCTGCACTCCTCGGAGTGCCAAGCATGTGGGAGCCTGAGTTCCTTTGATGAGCCTCTTTGCAGAGGCTGCCACAAGTTTCAGGAAGGTCATTGCTCATGGAGTTTTCCTTTCTGTCCTTAACCCAGGGTCTGTTTGCAGTATGTGGCCTCCTGACCGGCTGCTACCTCTGCTGCTGCCTCTGCTGCTGCTTCAACTGCTGCTGTGGAAAGTGCAAACCCAAAGCACCCGAAGGGGAAGAACAGGAGTTCTTCATGTCTCCAGAAGACTTGGAAGAGCAAATTAAGAACGACATGGAAAGAGGTGTGTGGCTTACTGTGCAGCAAAGCTGTTCAGAACCTATAGGCCAGATGTTCTGCTTGTGATGTTCAGGCTGGCTCCAGACCTGGATGGAGATATATGCCAGTTCTCTCCAGCTAACACCATGACCAGATGAACTTCTCAAGTTGCGTGTTAACGAAAACCTAAATGTGGCACCAATAACTAAATATCTCCTCTAACTCCCATTAGACACAAACATTAGAAGTCTCAGGGCTCATCTGAAGAGTTGTTCACCCTCTAACCCACATACCCCTGTTGTTTCATATCCTATATGCTGCATGTATGCATCAGGCTCTGCCTGGGCGAGTGCTTGCCACATCTCACCTGCCTGAATTAGCACATCCACTTTTCATTCAGGTAAAATCCACTGCTTACTGACATGGGCCAACCCATTCAAGAAAAGGCTAAAGAAAAGAAGCAGAGCTTCCATCAGTGAGGTTGTGCAGCAGCCTAAGAATGGCTGAATGGAAACTGCCCCCTCTACCCCAAGCTGCTCTCTTTTTTCTGCACTGGTAGTAGCAATTATGCTGTCATTCACCAAGAGCCAAATCTTGGATACAATCCAGATAAAAACTAATCCTCTCTAAGAAGTGTGTTGCTCTCACCAATTTAACTCCCTGCTATGCCTTACACTAACAAAAACTCAAAGCACGGGCTTGAAGCAGCAGGACCCCTTCACTGCTTGTTGCTCTCTTTGCTTGGCTTCGATGCACACCCCAGTCTACACCTGCAGGTTTTGGCTTTACCAAAAAATGGTGATGGTGATTTCCTATTTGGCACTAGTCATGGATTTTGATCCAAGAGCCCTATTCTCATCTGTTGAAACAAGACAGAGTTTTGTCTGGCCAGTTTTGCCTTTGCTCAGTTGCAAATTTATATTAAGTATGATTCATGTTTTGTTTTGTTTTGTTTTGTTGTGTTTTGTTTTGTTTTGTTTTGTTTTGTTTTGTTTTGAGGAAAGACCTAAGCAGTCAGCTCATCCTTGTTTGCTTCCATTGTTGTGGAAGGCCTTATGCTGTTATATTCTTACGTTTATTATGCTTAAATTAGCACAGTGCAACTGCAAATGTCACATTTCCTTAACGGGAAGAGTTTTTTCCTCCCTTTTCACACTAATTTACCCTTCTATAAATATGTCACAAAACCCTTATTGAAACAAATGCTATTTATATAGCCAACATGACAGTGAATATTGTTTTTAGATTGGTTTTGCCTACAGGCATATCACAATAAATATAGTCAGCTCAAAAACTGATCATATTTGGCCACTCACTACAAAGGCCCCCTAAAAAATGAGTGGAACATTTATAAACACAATGCATTACTTTGAATAAATGTAATGTACTGTAAGACATTAAGAGAGACACATTCAAAGCCAGGCTGGATGGGGCTCTGAGCAACCTTATTTAGCTGTAGATGCCCCTGTTCATTGCATGGAAGTTGGACTAGATGACCATTAAAGATCTCTTCTAACCCAAACAATTCTATGATTTTGTGATCTCACCTGAGAACTGCAAACATAAACTTAGTCTTGATATTTGTGAATCTGTTATGAATCTATGACACCATAATCAAGTCTGAAATAAGAAGGTAAAACTTGTAAGGATAACATTTTTTAGTTCTGCATGCCTCTCTCTTTTTTATTTTTTTTTTTTTTTTTTAATTTGGCAGGCATTTTGATGGCTCCCAAAAATCCAAAAATCCAGGACCAATTTCCCCAGAGTCAGGAAAAAATGTTGTCTCTCCTTTTGGTACTGGTGATGTCTATTGACACAAGTTCTGCAATCTTAGGCCATCATCCTATCCCTTTACTCCCACCAACTCTCATCAAAATAGCCATTTAAAAAAAAAAAAGAGTGTATGTTTAGCAAAGTGCCAGTATGTATTAAGTACTTTGAAGACAGTATTAAGTGTATAGGTGGGGCCTGAAGAAATTGAGTTATTTCTGTCTTTCCTAGACTTCTCTTCAGTCTTGCTGTATTTTCTTGCCCATCAAAACCAGCTTGCTTAATTAGAGTAGAATTCTACACATTTTAGAGTTAGATAAAAAATAAAACAACAAATCAAGAATAAAAGTTAAAACTTCATGACAGAGGATGATGTGAGCATCTTTTCTGCAACCGATAGGAAAATAGATGGGGAGAACTCATTGTGGCCTTCTAATATTTGAAAGGAGCATATAAACAGCAGGGGGTACATCTGTTTACTGGTGTGTATGGTGATAGGACAAGGGGGAATGGTTTTAAAACTGAGACAGGGGAGGTTTAGGTTAGATATTAGAAGGAAGTTTTTCACTCAGAGGGTGATGACACACTGGAACAGGTTGCCCAAGGAGGTTGTGGATGCCCCATCCCTGGAGGCATTCAAGGCCAGGCTGGATGTGGCTCTGGGCAGCCTGGTCTGGTGGTTGGTGACCCTGCACATAGCAGGGGGTTGAAACTCGATGATCATTGTGGTCCTTTTCAACTCAGGCCAATCTATGATAATATGATTCTATGATTTAGAAAGATGAAGGATCATCAGTTTTAACTGGCTTTAACTGCACTTCCTTTCCCTCTTCCCCCAGCCAGAACTTAGGGATTCTGGTCAAAAGGATTCAGGTGACTTAGAATGGTGCACATTGGGCTTTTTCAGTAGACATCTTCAAATTTAGAGCCAGAGAAATGAATACATCTTTTATGTAATGATTAGAAATGTTCCCATAGGTAATTGAGAAGCAAATGTAATCAGTCCTGCAGCAGATTTTATTTTGGAGGAGGAAATGATACAAGAATCCAAATTCTTCACATGCCCTCTGCCCACAGACTGAACACTCTGGCTAGTGATTAATTTGCTTCCTGCTGTACCCAGTGTATATATTATCACTAGCCAGAACTTTTCTTACTGAGGTCAAAATGTGGATTCTGAAACTAGGGCTGTACTTTGTTACATCCGAATATTTGATAGTCATTCTTTGCTTTTCTGAGGAAGGCAACAGAAGTAAGACATCACAATTCCTGATTCTAAAATCCTCTGAGAGCAACTCCACCAGTTCTTGTTGTGCTCAGTGAGAGCTCTTGGAGCTGGCTATTCTGCTCAGAAAAAGCAGTATGCATGTTCTGGGAGTGGAGGTTTAGACATGACATTAAAAAGCATTAAATGCAGTAATCTGTATCACACCACAGTTTTACAGATGACCCGAGACCCTCTGACACTGGCACGGGGAAGCATCATGCATATGTCTGCAGTGTGGGCGTGTGATGTTTATTTATTTTCAGATGCACGCACACACTGCAGGTTGCCAGATTTTGCTCCTGTTGAAAGCAACCCTTTTGCTGATTTTTGTGGCCCCAGGTGAGAGGATGTTTGAATTTGGATTGCCTTGGTGCTTCAATGATGCACTCAAACTGTTTGTCAGGTTTGCCCTCCTCTCATGTTTTGTTATCACCACACAACATTTCTAGACCAACTTTCACTTTACAGAAAATGAAATCCAAGAGAAAAGAAGAAAAAAGGAAAAAGAACTTGAGTAACAAAATAATTTCACAACTCAGAAGCAATCAGTTTTTAGCACTTCATTGTCTCCTCCGCACTCCATATGATACCAATGTAGGCGAACAGTGAGCAAGAGCTATCTATAGAAAGCAGTTTAAACTGTGAATTCTGTTGCACCTCCACTCTGCAGCTCTCCATTAACAAGCTATATTTGTTCAGTTTATTATGCCAGAGGTCCCTGCTCTGATAAAAAGCACCATACATCTTAGAAAGGTCCTGGCAGCAAAATATTTATGGAAGGTGTCAGCTCAGGACTGTCCATGGAGCAGCTGGAAGCAACACAACATATTTGCAGAGGGTTCTGTTCCCTTGTTGCACATCTGGGTATTACAGCAACATTAACTGCTGGTCCCAGCCCTCCATAAATGATCTTCCAAGAAATGAACAACTTGGAGGCAGCGGAGGGTGGGAGTGAATGCTGCTCAGAAGACTGGAAAATACATAGCAACTTAAAAATGGATTGGAACTGCCAAACTAACGATAACCCGCACTGAGCTCTAAGAATTAATTACTCATGTACTTTTAGAAGTTATGAAACATGTCTGTCTTTGTCCTTGTGTCTAAATTAGGAATTGCCCATACAGAGAAGCTGCTCAGCATTTAATCATCCTCGCCTTTCACATTGTAGGAGTCAAAGCAGTTCTGCCCGCACTGAGGGGAAGCCGTATGGCATGCCATTAGGTTCCTGCTCGGGGTTAAGTTACTTCTGTACGTTACATCTTCTGCCCATGATTCATCCCATCAACTGCCATGTAAACAAGAGGAAATGTCAGATTACGATTTTTTTCCTAAGCACTCCATCATATGGGGAAAAAAGGTCATAATGTGTATTCAATTACTCTAAATGCTGTGTTAATTTCAAGAGAGAGATAGCTCAAAGATTTTCATATGAAAGCACCGTCATCAAAATTGCTGAATCCTTAAGAGGCACACTCTGAGACCCAAGCACCCTCCGTCCCCTAAAAAAGGTGGCTTGGAAAGAAGCCCAACAGAAAGGCACATAAATCTTATTCATAATCAGAGTGAACAAACAGCCATTGGGGAACTTTGCAAGGGTTGAGCTTCTCTCCACTCTGCAACAAATGTATTTTTTTACAGATATATTGGGAAACCAAGTGCATAACTGAATAGAATGAGAAAGCAAAATACTAAGTCATATAGTGATCATATGAGTTTTTGGCAGTTCCAGACTCATCAAAACAATAGTTCTCAAAATCTAATTGAAAATATATTACATAGGACTTCAGAATGCAATTTAACATTTTTATATAGCTTGATGGCTTTCAGGATGTCTGATTTCTTCACTCTCAAGCACATTACTGCTCACATATTTTTTTCCCTTTAACTCTCTTTTTACTTCACTTTTAACTTGGTCTTCCTCCAGACTCATTCCTGGCCCACTCCTGCACACGCTGCCAAGGTCAGTGCTTGCTGAGTCACAGCAGCACTGTGCGTTCCGACATTTGCAGGAACAAGCACTTGTGACTGGAACAGGCAGAGACCCTTACCTGCCAACCTCCATAAAGCACCACGTAAAACATTGCCCAGTTTAATAACAATAGCAATAGCCACTCTGAAATCTGCTGTTATGCCTGGACAAGGTGTAAGAGCATCTGTGGACATGGTGTGAACATCACTGTCTCTTCAGCAGGCACACAGCAGTCTCTGAAGCCAAGATTAAGCCGTAAGCCAGGACAGCAGATGAAATGTTGTGGTGCCAAACAGAAGTTTGACTTTGACAGCAAGTGAAGGATTCTTCAAGTAATTTTTGTCTCCTTCCTCTGTTTAGATGGAGAAACTCCTATTGTGCTTCAGCCGACAAATGCAACTGAAAAGACGCAGCTCATAGGGGACAGCCATCGGAGCTACCGCACAGACTCCTAGAGCCGGCACACACAGCCTGGTGGTGCTTCCCAGAGAGTGTCACAGCAAGGAAAAAGGTGTGACAAGCTCTGCAGCCTGTTCCTGTAACTAACCAAGAGTAACCTCAGAGTAATTTCCTGTCAAGGCAGAATCTCCCTCTAGGCCACTGCAAGTAGTTTCTGGTCTGCTCTCTGCAAAGAGATGCCTACAGCTAGTGCAGAGATCTCACTGGTTCAGACTGCCCTTTTGGCACCATCTTCCCTCTGCAATGCTCACTTCAGTGCAACTGCTTTTCTCCCCAGCCCTCAGCTGGTGTTTCACCTCCCAGACATGGTCTGGAGCCCTCTCCAGACACACCAGTCCCATCTCTCTATGCCCTGGGGAAGATTTCCCTCAAAGGAAAATCAGTGGCAAGGCTGGTGGGGCTTCTGCAAAGTGGAAGTACTCTCTGGAAAGCAGGCAACACCTTAGTGATATCAGCCCAATTCTGGCAACTGGAAATCTGAGCCAAGGTGATGTGCTCCAGGGTCATTTAGGTGGTGGTAACACAGCAGATGATTCCAAACCCAGAAGCATCAACCAGAATGATACACATGTAGGCTCCGTGTTCTCCTGCACATGTGCAGACCATGCCTGTACAAGCTGCAAACACCCCAGGGAGAGAGTTGCTGGCCCTGGGCTCTCATATCCCCACCACCATCACAAAGCTTTCCCATTCCTGAATGGATAGGTCTGCTGCTCATGCCATGCAGCCTCAGCTTTTCCATTTGCAGCTGCAGTGTGCTGGAAGTTGATACTCAGCCAAGAGCTTTTCGCGGCCTTGCTCACTGCATGGTGTCCTGGCCACTGTCCACACCACCCTGCTGGCATTGGGATGGCATCCATGCCACGTGTGCTGCCTTGTGGGACAGTGAGGACTTGGAAGGGCAGAGGAGCAAGCATCCTCCTCACAGTGCTTGTCCTTAGGTGAGCCTGGGTCCTCCTCTCCGCTCCAGCACAGGGGCTTTAAGAACATATTGCATGGCTTTAAATAAAGAAGTAGGGATGAGAAGCACACTGACAGTGATATCCTTGAGTACACAAAACACTCAGTTTTGAGCAAAAATGTGATGCCTGTGCTTTTCTGAAGAATGAATCAGGTGTATACCACTATGCAAATCAGTGGAGTTACATGTGGGTACAGCTAAAGCAAGCATAGAGAAATGAGACCCCTAATTTGTAAGAGATAAAGAAGAAACTCTGAGATCTTAAACTTAGAACTTCGCTCATTTAACACAGTAGTTTAAGGCTTAGACAGATGAATTTCATTTTATTGATCATGTTACATCAATCACTGTCAGTTCTCTACATTTGCTATTTTTGTTCCTCTAATCACAGTGCTGTGGCCCAAAGGGGGAAGTAATGTACCACTAAATATAGAGACCAGTCAACGTACAGCTAGTCAAAAATCTTATTCTCTTCTTTAAAATTGGATTCTGTGGTTGTGAAACATTATTGTCTTCCTTCTATTCTCACCTTTCACATAAAATGTCATTTAGTGGCAGCTAAATTTATGAGAAAAGAGTGTGTTTCATAGCACTAGCAATCACTCCAAGTCAAGAAGCACTACTTTCAACATTTCTTTAAAATTCCCACAATGCATGGATATTTAAAAATCCATCAGCTCTAGTTCAGAGTACATGTCTGTTCTCCAGGCACGGGCACTGGGGCCACCTGATGCTCACATTGTCTTCAAGGAAATCTACCTGTGAAGTCCCTCGTCCTGCTCCCATGGAAGCAGCCTTGGTTTCACCAACAGTCACAGATCAGGCCTGAAGCCAAGAAAAGAGGGGTAAATCCCAGATTAGTAAAAGCATTTTGACAATTTTATTCACACACAACACCCTTGATAGCCCTCAGGACCCCAGTGTATGTGCCAGATCCCAAGTTTACTGAAATCAAGGAAATGATTTCCATGGGCTGGAGAAGTACCGTAAGTCATGTGATTCTCATTCACTCTTTCTATGTAAGAGATTTTGCTTGGGAAAGATTTATGACTCTAACTTGCAGAGTGATGCAAATACAAGCGAGCTGCTGCATGTTTGCAAAGCCCTTTTACTGACATGAGGATCTGAACAGAAGAACCACAAAATGTATTTTCTAAGACAGCCAAAAACCCCAAGCAAACCATTGGCTGAGCCTCTGAGTTGGTTCCTCTGGATTTATAGCTTGAAAACCTGAACCCACTGTTTGGCTTCAAAAAGACAAGGTGGATTTCAGGGTAGCAGAGCGTTTGCCACTCTCCCTGCTGTCAGGATCGGCCGTTTTGAGGACATGTGGAGAAAGGATGAATAAGGATTTAAGGATTCAGCTGTTCCATGTGGGTTCACTTGTTTTGCTTTTCAAAAAAGCTGCTAAAGGGAACACAGCTGTGCTTACATGACCTGTTTCTATGTAAAATTCAGTCACACACCCATTAATTTTCTCAAAATGTACAGTTCCTCAATTTTTTTGTTCTATTGTGCTGCTTTGCTTTGGATGTAAAGTGCAATGTATTCCAACCTACCTTTCCTGTCAAAGCCTCTGACTAATAAAGCTTGCACATACAAATTGCAGCACTCCTTTACTTTTCCAAACCATCAACCACTTCACTGCAGTAACTGATGAAGCAACCTTTGATTATGCTGTCCGAAAGGAAGGCCTTGCAACCTGACAAGCTGCAGCTCAGGATTTCCCTGAAAAGGAACAGGGTCTTGAGTCTTGGATTGCAGCAGATCTATGTAAAGCAGCCAGGGGTGTAGCCACACACTGCAAAAGCATCCTTTACACAATGCAGGATGCTTGTCTAAAAGTTCAGCAGGGGGTTGAAGTGATGCAATGCAACAGCTGTGCTGGCATAAGGGCCCATCTGGAAAGATTACCACCAGCACAGGGTCCATGCTGCTGCTTGAGACTGTGGCAGAGCTCCTGTAGCTCCCTGGGACTGGGAGCTCAACTGGGGATTCTGCATCTGTCCAAGAACCAGCACAGAGTGACAGATAACCTGGGCCTGGAACAGGACAGGAGCGCTTCCCACTAATATGGTATCCAGCCTCTGTGACCACAGAAGCTCAAGCATTTGAAAAATAGATGAGGAGCAGCAGCTTTGTTTGGAGGTATTCTATAAGATCTCATCCTTTTGAGTGCTTGAGTATTAACGCATACCCAGATTCACTCAAAATGCAGAATGGAAGAAATCTTAGCAGGTTTAGGACTAACATCAACAAAATGTAATAGAATAATGGCAGGAAGGTTAAACTTCTACTGCCTGACCACAAACATCCGCCTCTAATGTTGTGGGCCGTTTCTTTCAGAGCAGTCCTTGTGCAGTAAACCCCTCTGCTTAATCCAAGACACATCAAACATAAGTGCATTCCATTTCATTTCATCGCTTTCATTGCTTTTTTTTTTTCCTTCCCTAAGGATTAATACCTACAATATGGGGATGATTTCAGGTTTGTTTTTGTTTTTTTTTTTAATTGCATTTTTGCTTTTTTTTTTTAATAAATAAAATCATTTTAAAAAATATATGGAGATGTGCAGAACTTAGGAAATGCTGTCCCTGGTCAGGCACCACGTGCAGCCACACCAGTGGCTGTTTGCAGGACATGTCCAGAGAGGGGCACTGAAGGTATCTGTAGCACAAGTTTTATGGAGAACAATTAAGGGAGCTGGGATTGTTCATTCTGGAGAAAGGGAGGCTTAGAGGAGACCTCATTGCTCTCTACAAGTGCCTGAAAGGAGACTGGGGAGATGGCAGGTCAGCCTCTTCTTCCACATAACAGCATTAGGATGAGAGGTAACGGCCTTCAGTTGCATCTGGGGAGGTTCAGGTTGGATATTAGTAACAAATCATTCTCAGAAAGTGGCAGTGCATTGGCACAGGCTGCCCATGGGACTGGTGGCATCACTGTCCCTGGAGGTGCTCAAGAGACACATAGATGTGGCACTGAGGGACATGCTTAGAGGATGGGCTGATGGTTGGACTAGATGATCTTAAGGTCTTTTCCAACTTTAACGGTTCTGAGAGGTGGGCAGGGTGTCACCATGCACTGGGGGGCACCCGACTGAATATGGAACCAAACACCAAGGTTCTACACAGTCAGAATGTTTGGGGCAGAGGAGGTTCTGAGAAAACTTCCACTTCAGCGTCCACTTCAACATCCTGATTAACTGGGACAATGCCAACAGGTGTTCTCAGAGCAAGCCATTACTTGCTTTGGGAGTGTTTGTGGTCAATTGGAGCAAGCACACCTCTTGTTTCCCAGTGCTGCCAGAGCGTCACAGCAAGCCTTTGGGAGGCTGGGTTTACAGTGCAGGAGGGTCTGTCAGAGAAAAACAAAGAACCGGCAGTAGCTTAAAGAGTAATTAGTTAGAAGCACTTTTTCGGGTGAGCCGACAACCGTGGTGTAGGAGGAACAGCGCCCGGCCTCACATATTGTGAAGGAAGAAAAAAACTTTACCGTCTCCTTCGAGCCGGAATCGAACCAGCGACCTAAGGATTTCCGCAGGGAGCGCCACTACAGTCCTCCGCTCTACCAGCTGAGCTATCGAAGGGACTTGGTGCCTGGCGCTCCAGCACAATATATCAACGTACTTAGCGGCGGCCCAGTGGCGCATGCGTAGTGTCCCAAGATTCTGTTGAGGGAACTAGCTGCACCCTGCGCTCGTGGTGCGGTGGGGCAGGAGCTGGCGGGAGCGCGAGGAGATGCGGCGCGTGCCGAGGCTACACAGAGAAGATCGTGAAGAAGGAAGGCGGCGGCCCAAGCGTCTGGGGTTGGTGGGCTCTAGGATGCGGTGGGGAAGAGCCCTAAACATGCCGGGCCAGTGGCGCAATGGATAACGCGTCTGACTACGGATCAGAAGATTGTAGGTTCGACTCCTGCCTGGCTCGTCCCTTTTTTTCCCCCCTATAGTAGAGCTGGTTTCTTTTATCACGAACTCTTTTCTTAGTACCGGTGCGCGCCCAGCGGAGAACTGTCTCCCGGACCCTCTAGCGCAGCCACCGGCAGCCGCG